GACGACTTAGTTTAAAGTCGTCTGGGCAGACGACTTGCGAGGGCTAAAAACGTCAAAAAAAAACTCTTTTTTTGTTTGTTCACAAGGGGTTGGTTGTAATTTCAACAGCCTTTTAAGTTACTTTTGCATTTGATTCAAGTTTGGGTTTACTTTTGCATTTCAAATCAAGTTTTGAGTCATATTTGGCAATTTTCCCAACAAATATATATACAGATTAAACTGTATACCATATAAGATTACATAAATATTTTAATTTAAAAATCCTCAATAAATTTCAAGAAAATTTATAAATTATAAAATTATTAAATTTTTCACATTGAAATTTTTTGTTATCAATGATTTAAATATCTTAGTTCTTTTTTTTTTAATTTTATATTTTTAAAAGATATTAACAATCGATAATATGATTATTTTTGGTATATACCATACAAACCCAATGGATGTGATTTTATAAAAACCATAGGATTTGGATATGGTTTGATTTATAACCGATTAAACTGAAACATGTAAATATGTATATATTTATAACGACGCATGAATATCTATTTGTTACATGAGTTGAACTATAATTATAATTTGTAAATAACTAAAAATTTATTACAACTTAGACTTCTTATTTTGATCTTCTGCTTTTTTAACAGTAACTAAATTGAAGTAAATATTATAAATTTGATGGACAACGATTAGTTGAAATTCTTTACAATTTTTTTTTTATCTTTAAACAAACAGAGTTGTGTTCAATCGAAGACATATTGGTTTGATGAACACTAAATATGGAAGAATATAAAAACTTTTCTTTCGTGCTTCTGTTTTGTTTTTTATTTTTATTTTTCAAAATTTAGTGTTTTGATACTAATTCTAGATTTGATCATTTTATTAGATGATAGAAACCTTTTTTTATTATTCTTTTATTAGATGATACAATATGACTCTAAATATGATCATATTATATATTTGTATAATATATAATATGATCTCAAACTAAATAATCATGTTTTTTGGTATAAAATTGAATAAACTGAAAACCGATGGTATATAAAGCAAATCAAACTGAAGTACATATAGATTTAGAATAGTAGTTATATTTTAATAATCGAAATACCAAAAAATCGAGCCGAACCGAAACCCGATATCCGGATTGGACACCTCTAATCCGAATGAAACCGAACTATTGTTTCCTTTTTAAAAACATAATAAAAATAATAGCATCATCCCGCGCAAGGCGCGGATCTTATCCTACGATAATGTACACATTACTTCCAACCTACGATACTTCAAATAAGTTTATAGATGTTCAGTCTTCAGCTTATATGTTCATATGCAAACGGGGGTTGAGCTGACTGCTTAATACATGCCTACACACATGCTTACACACTTAAGAACACATATTAGAGCAACCCACAATTAACCAAAAATTATGAATTACTAATTATTAAAAAAAAACATAAGAAAACTACATACACCTCAAACATAGTCCCAACAAATTTTAATATTATTTGAGACCTCAAAATACACAACTCTTGCAAAAAATAACATAAATTACACACAATGAAAATATACAATTATATAGTTACATAGAACACATATAAATCAAATTTCGTGCGTAGCGCGGACCGACCCTAGTATATACAATATATATAAAAGAAGCATTTCATCGTTATAGTTCTGGCACGTCACTAATTCAATTTCTCACATCTTGACATGTGTCCTATCTTGCGGATCCGCTGCATTTCTTTAAGTCAGCCGTGTAACTGTTCGGGCTTTTCTATGTTATGAGCTTCGTCTAATATCATTTTTCTGTGCAATTGGGTTGGTCTTGATGTCATATACGGCCCTCCACAATTACACTTAAAATGAAGTGTCGTGTTTTAATTAGGGTTACCTTCAATGTATACATGTATGTATATGTAAAAGTATATAAATGTGATGATAAATATATGATTATACTGCTAATTAAGCTTTAAAACATTTTTGCTCAAAATAACACATGATAGTAAATTCTTAAATAAAATTAAGTAAAAATAAACAAACCTAGAAATTAATAACATTTTTTCATATGACGAAAACCAAATTGTACCGGTAAACAATAAAAATAAAATATATATTACAAAGTGACATCTTCACTTGGTACCTGAATTCTGTTTTTTATCGATTTTGTGATTTTTATTAAAGCTTTTTTTAATTTCTGATTTTCTTCTACCAATTTGATTTTGTTTCTAATTCTTGGTCTGATATGAAAACTTTATAAAAATGTTAATAATTGACTAAACTAAAGATCTGACTTTACGTGTGGTGTTTTTCAACTCAGTGTCTTTAATTCATAATCAATCACCGTATTTGTTGTTATTGTGTACCAAAACCTTAAACATGACCAACTTCGACAAGGTACGAAACTTTCAATTTCTACAAACATTTTCATTGCAACATTTTAGTTGATGCAAATCTTAATGATTTTTATTTTTTTACAATAAAGATATTATTTATTAGTTTCACGTAGAAAATTTTGATTTATTAATATAAAGGCTAAAATATAGGAAAATGAATTAATTAAAAATAGTATATAAACATATTAAATAATAAATTTAAAAAATTAGTGTGTGGACGCATTAATTGTCAAATGATTGTAAGATTGACACGTGTCAATTATAATGTGAACATATTTATTATAATGCTTCACTTTTTATATATAAGAGATGTATTTTCTTTAATGTTTTTGTTTTCTTAAATTCCTGCTCCATAATCCAAATCCGGTTTGGAAAAAGAGATTAAAGCCGGTACGATTCATCCGATACCTCAACCCTCTGAATCGAGCAGAGAGGGACTTGTATTTAAATAAAGACCCGACACGGAAGCCGTTAAACCCTAACTGTCGCCTATTCTTCCTGACCAACTTGTAGCTATACGAATGCAAGGGAATCGCGACGGCTCGTGGCCCCAAGGCTCCTCCGGAAACGGTGGAAGCGGCAGAGGAAACGGTGGTTATCTTCCTCAGGCTACGAATCCCTTGTTTTCCAATTTCAGTCTCCAACAACCTATTCGATACCCTCTCACTCAGTTTCCGACGAGCTATTACCGCCCTAACTTCCCAGACTTCTCCTTCGGAAACCCTAATTTTCAGAATCTCAATTTCAATCATCCTCAATTCGGCGGTGGCCCCAATGTCTTCCTTCAATCCCATGTACCGAGCTTCTCCTTACCTCCGTCCAACAGTGATATCAGTGCCTCTCAGGAACATGGAGGAGCAGGTGCTAATGTCTTCCTTCAATCCCGTGGACCGACCTTCTCCCATCCTCCCCAACCTCCATCCAACAACGATATCAGTGCCTCTCAGGAACGTGGAGGAGCAACCGATCGCCCTTCCTCGAAACGAAGGCGCAAAGAGGGGACTGATGTGTGCATCAAAGAGGTCCCGAAATCTCTACCGATTCCTACTACTGTAGGCGCTGATGATAGTGGTGGTTCTCGAGTCCATCAGGGAGGGACAGCTTCTTCTTCGGAGAAGCCTTCCCCGAAACCGAAACGGAAAGTAGAAGTCTTGCGGATTGATAAGGCTGTCAACAAGACGCGTAAAGCGGTGATTGCTGCTGGAGAGAGCGTTTCTTCGACTAGAGTATCGCGTTCGGTTCTAGAAGAGCTTCAAGCTGATTCTTGGCGTACGTTAGGGGTGCAGATGCAAGATGTTCCTTCTCTTCGCCAACTTATGGCCCTTGAAGGCAAGGTATAATCTTGGTCAATTTTACAGCAAGTTTGTTGTTTTTACCGGTCATGGAAAGGGCAAAGGTTTAGCTTTTTATGTGCGTTTCTTGATGTCTTGTAGGTTAATGCATTTATTCATTGCTATGTTGGGGCTAGAAGAATTGTGACACTGTATGATTTGGAGATGGCAATATGTCGAAATGAGTTTGTTGATTCTTTCGATGATCTTGAATTGGGACCTTTGCTGCAGCATCCACTAGTCTTGCTCTATTTTCCATCCATATCCAGCTCTGCTGGCACGGTTCAGATCACTACTGAGGAGATAATATCATTTCTTGATAGCTATCTCTACACTTATATGACACGTGATGTCAAGGTCGATGAATTCCTTAACTTCGTTGCTAGTAAAAAGTCAGTTGCAAGCAAGGAAAATCTTGGTGTGCGTATTCAGACTTTACGGTATGATTTTGTTCTTTTTTTTTGGATTATCCAAACTTACATATGAGTTTAATTGTTTTGATAGTATGGTCAGTTTTTAAGGTTTATTTAAAGTTTTACTTTTTTCCCTCATCTAGTCATTTATTTGCTTTTGTTACTTGGCTTTTTTTTTTCTTCACTTTAAGTAGTGAACAAGTATCTAGTAAATTGGTAATAGGTTGAGGGCTAGAAGATCAGTGATGTGCTATGTTTGATATGTCGTTATGATTTAGAAAGAAATAAGTCTTATCTGCATGCTCATGTATAGTTTCTGAAATTTGTTGACTAGTCATTTGAGTGGAGTTTACCCATATACGTCCGTTTCCTTATCTTTATTGCAAAATTTTCTGTTGATATGATTCCATTTCATGTTTAATTTGCTATTGATCTGATTCTATTGTATGAATTGGTTGCATATGTTTTTGTATTGGCTTTTCAATGATTAATCAGCTTTCTGAGAGGTTACCATATCGCGCTCGTATGAATTGCGTTAGTTGATTATATGTGATCAATGCGTTTTTATAGGATGCATGTATCTTACATTCAAGACGCTAAGCGAAAAGAAGGTGAAACATTGAAAATCTTACTGACTGAACTGCACCAGAAGCATAACATCCCCTCATCAAAGAAACAGCCGCAAGTTAAATCCCTTACCATCTCTGAGCGTGCGGAATCGTTTGCTTTACATCATAAGGATTTTTGTGGCAAGCATACAAGATTTGATTCATCAAGCTCAGATGACAATGATAACGTTGATTATGAGGTTCAAAATCTTAAAAGTTCTGACCATTCTAGTAGTTGTCCATATCCATCTGTTGCGGAAGAGATGAAGCGGCTTGGGGGCTCCGATAAGAAAAGGAAGGGCGATAATCCTAGTCATGAAAAATCCAATTCGCCCAAATCGCTTAGGAGACGCTCCACCAAATTACAAAGAGAAAAGGCGAAACGAGAGATACCTAAATCTGCAGATTATTCTGATGCTAAGAAGATATTCGGTGTGGATGAGGCTGACTTCACACTTGACGAAGGGGCTTTGAGAAAGTTCATTTCAATTTGGAAGGACCCATGCAAAGAGCTAAGCACTTCAACGGTAAGTTCAGGCTAGGTATTTCGAGATTGCATGACTGTTTGAATCATATATCAGATACATCTTTTTGCTTGAATCTGAAATAGAATTAGTTCAAGCAAGAGCTGTGAGGGTTGCATTTTTGTATATTTCCTAATACTCTCTTTATTTTTGTAGGTTGTTGAGAAAATGCTGTCATTTTACTACTTGGGGGGCTCTGAAGTACGAAATGAAAGAGCTAAGGCTATGTCATCTTTTCCATTTGTTGGATTACTAAATGTCGCTGTGAGTGGTCGTATTACTTCATTTTATATATTGCGTTTTTCATTTGTGTGATTTCCTGAGATGCCTTTCTTCGTTTCCTTGCTTTAGTCAGTTCAGTCTTATTTTATTTCTGCAATTACCTTTATCAAGGAAACTTCTTCTGTTCCTTACTCGTTGAAATACAGCTTCGGGTGTCCTCCTAATTTAGGGATGCATCTTCGCAAATTTCTTCTGTTTCTTACACACTTATACAACTACTTGGTTTAGAGCTGTTATTTTTGTTTTCCTGCTCATATTTGTGTGGTTCAAGCGTCTTTGCTCTTGCACTGAGACTTAGCACCCAGTTGCAAAGTCTTGGAGTTGAGTTTGGCAAATGTAAAATCTTCCCTAGTTCAGCTTTGCTCTTTGATTGTGCATGTGCACATCAGAATGTCACTGAGGCAGGCTGGAACAGGTTACAAATACTACTTTATGGATCATGTAAACTAGCGCCCCTTTGTCTCCCTATTTTCTTAAATTAAATAAATGGAAAGCTTCCAACATTTGTTTTGAGGTTAAACCTGGTTGTCCTTTTTATGCGACGGAAATTGACGTGGAGATTGTGGAATCTCATTTAGTTTGTCAGCTGCATCAGTTTCTTTTCACGCAAAAGCTTCTTGTTTTCCCTGCTGGATAGTTGTCTGGATTGTCTTTCTTCAGGTGTCTTAGTTTATTCCTGGCATTCAGACTTTGCCTACTGCAATAATCAGAAAAAAGTAAAACTGCAATGGTGCAGGAATCTTTTAGCTGCAGGGGGGGGGGGAATCTGTTTCCGGATATTATCCTTTTTTTATTCTTGATTTTGTTCATTTAATTTTGTTTTGGCTCAAGTAGATAGTTGCAGATGTTTGCCGCAATAGGTAGTACTATAATTTTTACCCTTTTATGGAGAAGTTTGTCCGACTGAGTTTCGTAGTCACTCATTTTTTATACTATTCATCTAATATAAAGAAATATGATCGTCTTTCAGATGTAGGAGATTATTTTAGAAAATTGAAATGTCCCATCCTGTTTAGCTAAAGAGTGCGCTTGTTTTCCGTAGATTAATTTTTATCTTTCTCTGTTTAAATAAAAATTGCTTGATTCATGTGAGTTTTGGAACAGTAGATGTTATAGATGTTTCTGGAACAATATACAGATGTTTTACCTATGTCAGCTAGTTCTCAATGTGATTTTCTGCTTACATGGTTACGCTTTTCACTCAAATACAGTAGAATGGGCAGATATGAATTTTTATTTAAAATGTAATATGGTGAGTACTGTTTTTATCATCTTTAATTTTTTTTTACTTCTTTCTTGTGCTGCTGCATTTGTAGGTAACCTCAATGAGACGTGGAACGTGTGATAGTATATATGATACTTTGCAATTAGCGAGTCAAAGTGATACGACTAATCCATGCACAGAAAATCAAGTAGATGATATTAAGCCAAGTGAAGACAATGAGTTAAACAAAGCTCAGCAAATTATGCCTCTAAAACACAGTGAGTATATTTTTGTTCTCTATCTTCATTACTGCTCTCTGCTTTTTGAATTTTGGTTTATTTTTGCTTTATATCTTATTCAAATTGTATGGTCAGTCAATCACCACTGTAACATCATGATATGTACTTTGTTTAAGCAATTCAAATACTACATAATTCAGTTATAATCGAATGGGGAACTGTTTTTGGAATACCTTATCTAATAAGGTTTTGTTGCACAGTGGCAGTTTTGTGGTTGTCATTTCTATTGCAATTTGCAATCTGATCAATTTTATCTGTTAGGAGGTAGCACTGCTGAAGAAATTACCAGAAGACTTTCCTTGCATTTTGAGAATGATCTTTCTGGAGAGAAGCACATCAGTATCTTTCGAAAGCTACAGACGTGCGAGGCTTCCCTGGCAGAGCAATTTCAAGTTCAGAATTTTGAGTCTCTTGGTTGGGGTGAGTTTTCCACCTTCTTGGAAAAACACATGTTACTGCTACCAACACAACTTCAAAGGTTTCTAGCCAGAGAATTACGGGAAGAGCATCCTCTGGAGGTCCACGTGACTGAGAATCTGTTGACTCAATTGCTATCGCAAGCTTCTGAATTTGCAGGTGGCAATGAAATATCTAAACAGATGGTAGCTCGACTGCTTGCAGAACAGTTTCCAACAATTAAATTCCAGGTTGTAGGAAAAGATTCGGAGGAATGTTTCACTGAAATCATGAGTAACTACAAGAATAAATCTGGTTCTAAATGTGTCCTCTTTTCTTCAACATTGCTGGGAGCTGAAAAATCTTTGATCAGTAAGCATTTAGAAGAATCCCTGACAGTGGGAAATACTGCTGACTTGGGAAGCAGCCCCCTTAATGATGTTTCATCAAAAGAGGTTTTAGATGTTCTGCTTAGGGTTCCGTTTTTGTCAGACTTAAATTCATGGTGTCACTGGGATCTTAAGTTTGCTCCATACGCTGGTTCTCTTATGGGGTGTTTGAATGACATTAATTCAAAAGATCTGCTGTGTCTGGTGACGAAGGATGGTAAAATTATCCGCACAGATCCTTCGGCAACAGCAGATTCATTCTTAGAGGCTGCTCTTCAAGGGTCTGCTTACCGTACTGCTGTGCAGTTATTGTCCTTGATATCACTGAATGGACGAACACATCTACCATTTTCCCTTCTAAAGTGCTACGCAAAACGTGCATTTGAAGTATTTGTAGATAACCAGTCCAAGGAGATGGATCTAGATGGTAGGAGTTCTCTTGGGCATGTGCGTGCGCCAGTACAGTTCAGTGCTTCTTCGGACCAACCGATAGTTGTAGAACAGAAACCTAAAGTGGGTAAAAGTGACTATGCTGCCTCAAAATTCCTTCTTGATTGTCTGGGCTATTTACCGGGAGAGTTTTGCTGTTTAGCTGTTGATGTCTTGCTATCGGGACTGCGTTCTGTTGTTAAAGATGCTCCCACTAGGGTTTTGTCTGCATGCGAGCATACAGAGCAGCGCATCATGCTGCACGATGCCGGATTGCGACTAGGCATTGTTGAGTGGATTAATGATTACAGTAATTTCTGCTCATCATCTATGCCAGACTCTGCAATAGTGGAAAATGCTTCGTCCAACTTAGATTCTGGCGCAGGTTTTGTTCAAAAACTGGAGGGCCCAATTCATACGGACGAAAGCTGCATGATCGTATCAGAGACACCGTGTGAAGATAATGAACCTCATGGATCTTGTCACACTTTTGGTGGTGCTGGGGATTTATGTAATTCGGTTGTGGAGACGTTTACCCAAACTGCACCTGAGCTTCATGATAATCCAGCTTCAGTTATTGATTTAATCAGACGGGAAGAGTTTGGGCTAGATTCAAGTTCTTCTGGGGCTGAGACGAGTATGCTGCAGAAACAACATGCTCGGTTAGGAAGAGCACTTCAGTGTTTGTCCCAGGAATTGTATTCTCAGGATTCACACTTTATTCTTGAACTCGTGAGAATTCTTCCCTTCTTTCTTTATCATCTTCTTAGAAACATATTAATCGAGTTTGTTTTCTAAATAATTGGTGCATTCGTATGCATTGTGGATCCTATAACCGAGTTCTAGTCTACCCTAAATGATTAGTAATTAGGCGCTACTGTTCTGCTATCAACTTGTAATGGGGAGGGATAATGAGTATTCAAATGTTTGTTGGCCCTGGGAGGAAATTTAATGGTTCTCGTCTGTTGAAGAATATAGATAGATAATATCACAGGTTGTTATATGTTTTCTTTATCACTTTTCAGCCTTTTACTTTCCTGCTATTGTTGTTCCAGGTTCAAAATGCTGATGACAATAAGTACCCTGAACATGTGGAACCCACACTCACATTCATTCTTCAGAAGACTGGGATTGTTGTATTAAACAACGAGTGTGGTTTCATGCCTGAGAACATTCAGGCTCTGTGTGATGTTGGTCGATCAACAAAGAAAGGATCTGGTGGATACATAGGAAAGAAAGGAATTGGCTTCAAGTCAGTGTTTCGGGTATGTACAACGAGAATTTATGGTATAGATTAGGATTTTGTTGTTTTTTGTTCAAAAAAAAAGATTATGATTTGTTGTTTATGCGAATGCGACTATGAAACCCAATCTTAAATGAGCTAGAATTGGCCATGTGAATAGCTATTACGATACAATGTCAGCTTTAAAGACGTATATGAGCGTTAACCCCAAGTTATATTATAGCAATTTCATTCTTAAATAATTACTTCTAATACTTCTTCTTGGTTTCGCTTACCAGGTTTCTGATGCTCCCGAGATCCACTCAAATGGTTTCCATTTCAAGTTCGATATAAGTGAGGGTCAGATTGGATACATTTTACCGACTGTTGTACCTCCACATGATATCGAATCACTTACCAGCATGTTGTCTGGCCGTGCCTTACAACTGAAAGATGCAAAATGGAACACTTGTATCACACTTCCTTTCAGAGCTATCGAATCCGAAATAACAACAGTGAATCACATTGAGCCTATGTTTTCAGACCTTCATCCTTCTTTATTACTCTTTCTACATCGCCTCCAGTGCATAGTATACAGAAACATGCTTGACGATTCTCTCTTGGTCATGAGGAAAGAGGTTGTGAGTAAAAATATCGTAAAGGTTTCATGTGGGGAAAATAACATGACATGGTTTGTAGCATCAGAGAAATTAAAGTCTGCTAATCTCCGTGATGACGTTCAGACAACAGAGATTTCCATAGGATTTACTCTTGACATGCTAGAAGATGGAACTTACAGATCTTGTATGATTCAAGAACCCGTTTTTGCTTTTCTTCCTCTAAGAACTTATGGTTTGAAATTTATTATACAAGGGGATTTCATTCTTACATCATCAAGGGAGGATGTTGATGAGGATAGTCCTTGGAACCAGTGGTTGTTGTCAGAATTTCCGGGTTTGTTTGTCAGTGCTCTACGGTCCTTTTGCAGTCTTCCTTCGTTCAACCAGAATCTGGGTAAAGCTGTGTCCTCATACATGCAGCTTGTACCTCTCGTTGGTGAAGTGCATGGGTTCTTTTCTTCTCTCCCTCGTTCCATTATATCTAGATTGAGAACAACAAACTGCTTGCTGCTTGAGGGAGATGGTGAGCAATGGGTTCCTCCTTGCAAGGTTTTAAGAAACTGGAATGAAAAGATAAGGGTTCTTCTTAACGATGGATTGCTTCAAGAGCATCTTGCTCTGGGATTTTTGGACAAAGATATAGTTTTATCAGATTGTCTGTCAAGGGCACTGGGCATTGAAGATTATGGACCAAAGACTTTGGTGCAGATTATTTCCTCATTGTGTCACAGGAAAGATTGTTTGCAATCAATGGGCTTTGCATGGTTATCGTCTTTTCTTACTGAACTATATATAGTATCCCGTTCTTCTGGGCATGATAATGTAGAATTAGGTATGGATAAGACTCTTATGGACAGCCTTCATAAGATCCCATTTATACCCCTGTCAAATGGTAGCTTCACCTCTTTAGATGAAGGCGCAATATGGTTGCACCATGAGACCTCTGGGTCTGACGTTGGTGATGTATTTGAAGCATTTCCTATGTTATATGGAAATCTCCGAACCGTTGATCATTCCTTTCTCTTGGCGACCTCTGTTGATGGAAAATCCACTGCAGATTACCTCATAAACATGCTTTCTGTAATTGGCATTCAAAAGCTGTCAGCACATGAAATCATCAAAGTGCATATATTACCAGCCTTTGAGGCGAAAAATGACTGTACACCGGAAGGTTTGATGGTAGATTACTTATGTTTTGTAATGACACATCTACGATCTAGCTGCCATGTTTGTCAGAGAGAGAGGAATTACATAATTTCTGAGCTGAGAAGCAAAGCTCTGATATTGTCAAATTATGGGTTAAAACAGCTAGGTGAGGCGTCAATTCATTTCGGTGAAGAATTTGGAAACCAGGTTAACATGAAGAAGCTTACCAAAACCTTGGATATATCGTGGCATGTGGTTGATGGTACCTACTTGAAACATCCAGCATCAAAGCTCTATGCATGCGGGGTGAAGGAGTGGCGGGAATTTTTTCAAGAGGTTGGGATATCGGATTTTGTTAAAGTGGTTCAAGTTGAAAAGAGCATTGCTGAATTCTACACTGTTTCACGTTGTGAAACGTATGATACCAACTTGTTATCTCCCGGGTTGGCTGTTATAGACTGGGAATCTCCGGAACTCGTTGATCTCTTGGCTCTCCTACACAAAGGTAATGGCCGTGAAGGTTGCAAGTATCTTCTGGAAGTCATTGATAGACTTTGGGATAACTGCTACCATGACAAAGCGACTATTAACTATAGCTCGGGCACTCATGGTGTCATCAGATCATCAGAATCTTCATTTATGAGGGCAATTTGTGTTTCTCAATGGATAGTTTCAAGCATGGACAACAAGTTACATCTTTCGAAAGACCTCTATCATGATTGTGATGATGTGCGGTCAATACTTGGCATGAATGCTCCCTATGCAGTTCCAAAGGTTGGTTTCGTCTTGTCTTACTAATGTTATAATCTGCTTTTGCTATTACAACTGTTAGTGCTGAAAGCAGTGGATAAATTGGCCTTTTAGTGAGTCTTTTCCAATGGACCTTTAAAAAGTACATAGATGGTCTTGAAATTTACTTAGAGATGTAGGTGTGGTTTTAATATCGTAAACCTTGCTAGGATTGATTACCTACCATATGGGACCTCCCAGCGGAGGTGTTCTTTGTTTTAGTCATCTATATTTTGTTTATTTATGGAACAGGTTACGAGTGTCAAGTTAATTAATGACATTGGTTTCAAGACCAAAGTCTGCCTGGATGATGCTCTGGAAATTTTAGAAACTTGGGTGCACTATGGAAACTCTTTCAAATCAAGGTACAACTCTAGGGTTATGAAATATTTTTAACTTTCTGCTTTTTTTTTTTTTTTGTGTATTTTTCTTCTAGAATAGCTTCTTAAGTGCCACAGCTGGTGTCATCTTAACTTGCTTTCTTTCTACATCTTTACTAATAAGTTCTTAAACTACTGTTCTCTGTCGTGCATGTGATGGTTACTGCTGATATATATGATATTGTGCAGTGCTTTGATTCCTTCTCCGCTCTAAAAATGTTAGGTCTGAACCAGAACTGAGTTCTACAGTTTTTTTAATGGCCGCCTATGTGTAAACGGAGACCATAGGCGTTAGATAAATTGTCCATTTAGTATATTTTGAACGATCTGTTCTTTGTTTTCTATGTTATTTGCGACATTCTTCATCTAGTCAAGTGATTGTTTTTCCACCCCCTTTGTGTGACACCAAAAACTCATGATGATGATGATGCGAGACATCCAGTTCTTAGTGGATTTTCTAACTGTGTACAACGCTGTCTTTACTTTTGCAGCATCTCTCAGATTACCAGATTTTACAAGTTTTTGTGGAATGAAATGGCTGATTCAAAGCAGAAAATTATTGAAAATCTCAATGCTCTTCCTTTTGTATTTGTCCCATATCAAACTGGAAGTTGGCAAAATGATATGATATCTGGAATATTCTTGTCACATAATGATGTTTACTGGAATGATTCTGCTGGCGTTTTAGATGAGATAAAAGAGATTAGTTCGCAGATCAGCAGTGTTGTGGAATCATTGCGTAGGAAAACATTGTGCAATATCTATCCAGGTCTCCATGATTTTTTTGTTAATGGGTGTGGAGTACCTGAGACGCCTTCATTTGAAGAGTACCTTAAAATTCTAGGGCAATTCGCACATTATGTGTCACCCTCATGCGCTGCCAAGGCTGTAAGTTATTTACTTAAATAAATCACTCTCGTCTTGTTTATCGTGTGTTTATATGCTACCTTGCTAAAGTGTCAAGTTCATGTCTAGGTGTTCAAAATTTTCCTGAAGTGGAGTGATGACTTGAAATCTGGTAAATCTGCCGAAGATGTTGTACACTTTAAAGAGAAACTTTCAGAACTCAACTACACTGTGCTTCCTACTGAAAGTGATAAGTGGATTTCCTTACACTCCTCATTCGGTCTTGTATGTTGGTGTGATGATGAGAAGTTAAAGAAGAGATTTAAAAAGAAGGATAATATCCAGTTCATTTACTTTGGGGAAAATACTGACGAAGAACAAGAAGTGCTTCTTACAAAAGTATCTGTGCTAATGCACAGCTTGGGCATTCCATGTATTTCTGAGGTAACTAATCTTCACCTTTCACAAAGATATATTATATTTGCATACATCTAAGAGGGGTCTTAGGGATATTGGATTTGATCTAGATGGCAAAATTAAGGCTTTCGTGAATTGTGTTTTACTTATTCCAAAGCTATCGTCTTGTAGCGTAGACGTTTACCAGTGTAGAACTTGCTTATTTGTCGCCTTTACTTGTTAACATTAGTTTCAGTGGCCTCACCACAAATTTACTCTGTGAATGTTTACAATTTTTTCCAGGTGGTACAGCGTGAAGCGAAATATGAAGGTTTGCAAGATAACAGTGTAACCGTGTCACTTGTGAACTGGTCTTTGCCTTATGCTCAGCGATATATCTTTACTTTACATCATGAGAAGTATACCCAAACAAAAAAGACTGTATATAGTCAAGTCAAGCGTCTACGAGTCTTTGTGGTTGAGAAGTTATGCTATAAGAATGTCATACCAGAATATGGCATTTTCTCTAAAAAGGAGTTCAAATGCAGTTCTCTTTTGCAGGTACGTCTTCTTTCACCATCGTTTCTTGAGTAAATTTTATCCAGTGTATTTGGGGATTACAGGGGCGTGACATTTGCTTTGTAGTTATTTGAAACTCCTCTCTGTTTGTTTGCAAGTATATATATTTGGTTCTGTCGTGACCTCTAAACTGACACAGTGAATAATACCTTAACTGTGTGCTCCCAATCTGTGATATTTTAACCAACCTCAGTTGCGTGTTTGTGTTTTGATTTTGTTGTCTTCAGGATATAGCTCTGTACACAACACCATGTCTGGATTCCCATTCCTTGTTCATGGAACTGTCTCGTTTGTTTTTCAACGGAGTTCCTGATCTGCATTTGGCAAATTTCCTTCACTTGATCAAAACAATGGCAGAATCTGGTTTGAGCGAGCATCAAATGGAATCATTCATTGTGAACAGTCAAAAAGTTCAGAAGATTCCTGATGGTGAAAAGATCTGGTCCCTAAAATCTGCTCTTAAAGCCAAGAAGAAAGCTGGAATAAGCTTGAGCTGGTTACCTTCGTCTTCCAAAGGAAGACATGGTTCTAGCGAGCCCCTCGTTGATGATTCTAAACAAGTGCTGGCCACTGGTCAGGCTAGCAGCAGCGAAGAGGATGTAGCAGAGTCTCTTCAGGTACAGATACCGATCCAGACCGCCGATACAAACTTGGTTGCCGGATATGATAATAGCGCAGGCACAAGTTCACTAGCCAGTCAGCCAAACCCATTGTATTCTATGCATATGGAGAGTGGCTCATCCTCAGGGAATCAGGCGGCATTTAACCTCAATCCAAACCTTCATGGATGGAACAATTCCTTCTCAGCAGACTTCAGCGAAAGAGATCAACTTCATACAGGCACACCTTGGGCTGCACAAGCGCAACAGACGGGTAAGAAAGGAGAGGAAATCGCATACAGATACTTTGCTGCAACATACGACAAGGAGGCTAAGGTCAGATGGGTTAATGAGCAGAGCGAAACCGGTTTACCTTACGACCTGTTGATCGAAAACGAAGGTGGTAAACTTGAGTACGTAGAGGTGAAAGCGACGGTGTCTTCACGGAAAGATTATTTCAATTTGACAGTGAGTGAATGGCAATTTGCAAATGAGAAGGGAGAGAGTTATATAATTGCTCATGTGTTGTTAGGGAACAGCAATGCTATCCTCACACAGCATAGGAACCCTGTCAAGTTATGCAAAGAAGGTCAGCTTCGGTTGTTGATTCTCATGCCTAACAAGCGAAACGAGGTCAATGTTTCGTTTTAAACTCAGGCAGGTTCTTTTTTATTTATTTTTACTTAAATGAGGTTTGTCTTAGTAAGTTCTATTTTGTGTAGCAATCCAGTGATGTTTATTAAGAAATATATCAGTGTTTCCCTTTCGCTATTGTATTAAACTTTCAAATTAACTTTTGTATCATTAAAATCTTCTACCTGATTTACTTATCACGATTTTTTTGTCAGATTACCAACGACGATGGCATTAGAACCATTATTATATATTCGAAAATTTGAATATCTTTTGAATTTTTTTTTTGAAAAACTAATATAAAATCTCTAAAAATTTGTTTAAGAAAAGATATTTTCAACCATTAGTTAACAGTAACACTTTTTCTCATATATTAAAAGTAATATTTCCTAATTTTTCAATTTTTTAATTTTTGTAGAGCAATCTAGGTAGAAAACATAGAAAGACTTGGAAATTATGAGAATACTAAAGTGTCGAAAACGTGTGCAAAGGAAGAGGTGTGAAAAAGATGAAACTATCCTGCCCATTAAATATTTAGTCTTCCAAGATTTGGCCTTCTCCTTGACACAATATCGTTGTTAGATTTGGCTAGATAATATAAAGATTTCTTTTACATTATCAGAAGTTGTATCAGTAAAGTAAATTATCCCCTGCTTCGCGAAATCTCTGACCCAAACAGCGCAGCCGAAAACAAAATATTCAAAAAGATTACGCTCAGATTTTTTTTTTTAGATTTTAGAGTAATTAAAAAGTATATCTTTATAGGTTTACGGAGGAGCATCTACATAAAAGATTTACACGGTTTCTACTTTTTCAGAAAACGCAGTCGAGTTAAGTGAAAGTTAATTTTCTGAAAGAGTCAAGTCTGAGAAAGCTTTTGTCAAAGGTGATGAAGAATCTTACCCCGCTTTAAATGTAGAGAATGTATTAAAGAGATTCCGTTGATGTGTGTGTTTATTAATGTTGTTGAGCATTAATTCCATGGTTTTTCTATCCTTGAATGTTTGACTTATTAGAGTTGTTTATAACTTTTGTCGCATGAAATGGTTCGCGTTTTCTGAATCTGGCATGGTGATTGAAAAAAAAAAAACGATTAAGATCAGTGGTACTTTGTCCCAAACCATCAAGATTACGGTTTCACAATGTACATGGATTCCCTTGAAACCTTCTCGGTGATCGATGCTACAGTTCAAGAATACTACATGCTCAGAGCGGTCACACCTGCTCTGATAACATACGGAATGCCTAACTAAATGCTCCTCCCAAGTGGACCTTCCTCGCCGATAACAATTGCTACAACATCAGACCTTGTCAGTTTGATTAGCCAGAGGCCACCACTATCTGACATAACATTCCTATGTACTATAGGGGCAAAAAGTGTTGCAGAATTTCAGTTCCTCACTCGTTCTAATTTCAGCATATAATTTTTAACCTATGTGGTGGGAGATGGTCAGGATGAAAAAGCAAGAGCAAGATACGAGGGTAAGTTGTGGTTACAAGTTTCTATGTTTTAGACATACATTTTTGTTGTCTTATGTTGATCATAGTAATAAATATTGATATTTCAGGCTTGGTTTTCGGTGAGAGGCTTCTTGTCAGTGAGAGTGTACTGACTGAGATATTTAGAGAGCAAGAGATAGTTGTCATTCACTGTATTGCTCTGGAGATGGCATATGCTGACATGGCTCTGCGCCATGAAACATGGGCTGGGGTAGTCCAACGAATAGAGATCATTCAACTTGATGACGATAATGAGATGGTGGATTTTTCTCAGAATGGGGTCACAGGAAATTGAACCCTAACAGGTTCTTGAGGTATCTATTTTATTGTATGGCTAAGAAATATACCAAAATGGTCAAAATGGTTGTTGGACGGTTATTTACCATACATCACCACTAGATCAATAATTTCTTTACTTGATTTTATGTGGTACGCAGTGGCTATCACTCCCTTCGAACCCCAACCCCTTGCTCCAATCCCTTCCGCAGATGCACCATTTGTACTTTGGGATGTTGTGTTAGACTTGTTGGACTATCCTGAGTTCTACAACACCCAAATGGATGGGCACCAGGTAACACAAGACTCAGACTTCTGGTATGGTCTAATTGAAGTAAATTTCCAAACTGTTGGTGGAGTTTTCTCCAAAGCCAATCACAATGAAATCCGTCTGAGGCTGACTCAAGGCGAGTCAACACTTGGAGCTATAGCTGAGACAGAGGGGGAATCCTCAACTGGATCCAATGCTATCATTTGCTCTCAACTTGGAGCAGCCGTGACAACAAACGAGAAGGGAACTGATGGTATGTATCTCTTCATTTGTCAAACTTACTAGTATTTTACTCCAATTTCTCTTTAAAATACTAACTCTGCCGTATTACTCAGTCGCTGCACCTGTTGTTTTCGAGGGCCTTATGGTACAACTAAGGAGAAGCTCAACAACACTCTTCCGGCTCCCACTATTAAGTTAAGTGTGGGATGTGGTTCAGGACAACGTGCTGCTCAGCCTCCGTCATCTGTTGGGGTCGTCAACACATCTTCAGAGGGGAGCGAGAGCGAGGGTCGGTTCTGATTGTGAAAGTCCTTGAAGTTCTATGTTAAATATGGTAGCAGGTCACTTATGGTTAGCTGAAGGAAGGGTATTATAAGCCTAATAGACGATTAAGTAAAAGTATAACTCATGTGGGAAGTTTTTGGGGGTTAAACTTTTATTTAACCGTGGCAATGAGATGGGTTTTTTTTTTAATGTTTTTGTGATTTACTAGTCGGCACGTTGGCGGCAAAAAAGGGACCGTCTTTAGGGGTGGAATGTTATTTCAAGTTTATGAAAATATTCTAATGTTTCAAAATGGAATGAAAATGTTAATGGTTATGGTCCATGTTTGTAATGAAGTCATCGCTATCGGTTATAATGTTTTTATTTAGTATTTCATTGATGTTTAGCATCTCAATAAAAAATATCAACTCATGAAGCTATGACGGATGAAATGAATGAAGATATGTTCTGTTTTTATTAACAAAATAATTTACTGGCTAAGCTAAATACCAGAAATGCTAAGATTCTACTTAACCGACTAAGTTATTTGCATGTCTAAAAAAGTGTTGCACCTAGTTTAAAGTATTTGGCAATACTTTGTGGTCCAATCTGCTTAGACTACTTAGGTTGAAATATAGCTGACCGTGATAGTAGACAATCATATAAAATTCCTTTAACAGAAATAGGAAGAAAACAGATGGGTTACGTAGCTATATCCTTTGCACATTTTGGTTATGTAATAACCAAAACTTTTTTTCTATGATGCAGGTGAAATGTATGAGTATGGAGATGATCTACTGGTTGGAATGCTGTTCAGGAACCGTGATTCATTCAAGCAGCATATATCAATGTTTGCAATTGCTAAGAATTTTTGCTTCAGATGCCAAAAGTTGGATCCGGGGATGATGATCTTGCAATGCATTAGCTCATCTTGCCCATGGCATGTGTATGCAATCAGGTTGAAGGATACTGAAATTTTTGAGGTGAGAAAACTTGTCAGCGTCCATACATGTTCTATTTCCGACTGTGGTGGATACCAGAGCCAAGCGACTTCAGCGGTCATTGGAGAACTCATGAAAACAAAATTTTCTGGTAATGGTATGGGTCCCATGTCAAGGGAAATACGACTGATGATGCGGGGTGACCATGACGTCTCAGTCTCATACTGGATAGCCTGGAAGTTGAGGGATATGGCAGTGGATAATGACCACGGCATGTGACGTGCTTCTTACTTAAAGCTGTCAGCTTATCTGAATAACCTCGTCTTAGAAAATCCCGTCTCTTTGACTAACTTGCACACCGAGCCAATGGAGCTAGGAGGCCATCGATTCAAATACATGTTCCTCGCTTTAGGAGCTTCTATTGGAAGATATAAAACAATGAGGAAGGTCGTGATCATTAATGGAACACATTTGAAAGGAAAATATGCAGGTTGTTTGCTCACAGCTTCAGCACAAGATGGTAACTACCAAATCTTTCCTTTAGCCTTCGCCATTGTTGATAGCGAGAATGAAAAGTCCTGGGAGTGTTTTTTTCAAAAACCTATCGCAATTTGTGGTGAATGAGGCTGGATTGGTATTCGTTGCCGACAGTGATCCCTCTATCTACAAAGACATAAGCAAGGTAAGTAACAATGTTTATTTTTGCATTAACCGGTATTTATTTATATAGCATTTGCAAACAAACAGACTAATCAGGTTAATATATAAATGATCTTGATAACTAATATGGTAAACGATTAAAATAATTTCATATTCCAAGTGTATCCTATTTCGGGGCACTATGTTTGCGTTTTCCATCTGAAGAGAAACATCCGGTCCAATTTTTGTGGGAGGCATTTGGAATATCTAGTTGGAAAGGCCGCAAGAGCTTATAGGTTGCACGATTTCTACAAAAAAATCAACGAGATTAAAGAGATGAATCCTTTATGTGCAGCATACCTAATCGAAAACGAGCACTGGGCTCGGTTCCATTTTCCTTGGAAACCGATACAATGTGATGACTAGTAACTTGGCTGAGTCATGGAATTCAGTTTTGAGGGAAGCTAGGGAGTTTCTCATTGTCCAATTGATTGACTTTATCCATGAAAAACTAACGACGTGGTTCGCAAGTAGGCGTTACTCAGCTAACAAAGTGATGGTGTTCTAACTCCCCGCATTGAAGGAATCCTGCACAACTTCGAGATGACTGGTGGGTACGAAGTTATCGAAATAGCTGAGAAGGAGTACAAAATCCACAAAAAGTCTGGGGTTAGTTTCCATGTTAACCTCAACACCATGAGTTGCAGCTGTTTTGAATTTCAGATGCTAGCTATACCATGCTCCCACGCTATAGCTGCTGCACTCAAGGCTAAGATAAGTATCAACGATCTAGTCATAGATCCATACAAGCGCAACTTCCTCAGGCTTGCCTATCAAGGAACGGTCCTCCCGGAGACAGGTTCAACTGGTGGGGTAGAAGTTTCCGCTTATCTCTCTGACCTCCACTTGGCTCCACCTGCAACACGCCGTCCCCCAGGGAGGCCTAAAAAGCTGACGTACTTTTCCAGAGGAGAGAAACGTGTAAGTTGTACTTGCATTGGTTTTAGTATCATGTTATCTATATGAGTTTGAATTGTGAGGAAACTTGGAAGTAACACTACAAATTGAAAATGCAAGCAGATGAAATGCGTTTGACGCAAGATCATTTGCAGCAGGTGCAAGAGCATTGGACACAACAAGACCACTCGCAAGAACCTAATATAAGAGAAGACTCGCGTGAATCAGTCATGATGGGAACTTTTGGCGATGGGCATATTTGTATTGGATTGTATGGAGGTTGCAGATGGTGGAATAAGTTGGCATTTCTGTTTAATATAACTATTATGACACCATCTTGGATATGTAGGTGATTTGGATAAACGTTTTGTTATGATAAATAATAAGTTCTCTTCTGTTTTTACGCTTACTGTCACTTTATGTACATAATCACTCTATGAAACTGGTGAGGTTAAAGAATGCTCTATCTTGTACATAGCTGATAAATAAACTATTAACTATCTAACAAATGATCTTATCCTTGAACAAGTAAGAGATAATTATATAACCTTGACCCTAGACCGTAAATCCTTATATGACTCTAAACCCAAAAGAGTAAACCTTAAGCCCTTGCATATCATTAAACCCTAAACCCTAAATCCTAAACCCTTATATAACAGTAAATCCTAAATCCTAAACACTAAACCTTAAACCTTAAACCTAAAACCCCTAAACCCTAAAAACTAAACACTCAACCCTTATATGACTCTAAACCCTATATCATTGGGTCAACTGTAGACCCTAAACCCTCTGGACTGATCCATAAAACCTAACAGAAAAGTGTATAATAGAGTAAACCAATTGGCCGGCTAGAATAAACCATAGATGAGTAATTTATTTAGTAAGAGGCTAATGATTATCATAGCGCGATAATATTTTTTTTACCTCATGTACAAACTGTTAGTCATCTAACAAAGGTATAATTCTAAACACTGAACACTAAAAGCCAAACACTAAAAGCCAAACACTTAACCCTAAACCCTTCAACCATAAACCCTAAACACTTAACACTAAACCCTAAACCCCTAAACCCTAAAAACTAAACAGAAAACCCTTATATCACTCTAAACCCTAAACTCTTGGGTCGGCTCTACACCATTATTTATTACCTCATCTACAAACTATTAATCATCTAATAAAGGTATAATTCAGAACAATGAACATTAAAAACCAACACACTTAACCCTAAACCCTTAAACCATAATCCATAAACACCTTACACTAAACCCTAAACCCTAAAAAATGAACCCAACACCCTTGACCCTAAACACTAATGCCTAAACCATTATATAACTCTTAACCCTGAACCCTTATATGACTCTAAACCCCAAACCCTCTTGACTGATCCACTAATCATAAACCCTAAGTCCCAGCATATTCCTAAACCCTAAACTTTAAACCCTAAACCATTATATGACTCTAAACCCTAAACCCTTAGGTAGACTCTAAACGCTAAACCATTAGGACTGATCCATAAACCCTAACAGATAAGTAAATAAATTCGTTCACCACTTGGCCGGCTACAATAAAACCTAGATGAGTAATATATATAATATGAGGCTAATGATTATCATACCGCAATAATAATTTTTATGACCTGATCACTTAACACTAAACCCTAAATCCTATAAAATAAACCCAACACCCTTGCATATCCCTAAAGCATAAACCCTAAACAGTAAAGACTAAACCCTTATATAACTCTAAACCCTAAACCCATATATGACTGTAAACACTAAACTCTTTTGACTGATCCACTAATTTTAAACCCTAAACCGTAAACCCTTATATGACTCTAAACAATAAACCCTTAGTTAGACTCTAAACCCTAAACCATTAGGACTGATCCATAAACCCTAACAGATAAGTATATAAATTTGTCAACCCACTTGGCCGACTAGAATAAAACCTAGATGAGTAATATTAATTACTATGAGGCTAATAATTATCGTAGCGCTTTAATAATCTTTATGACCTGAACAGTTAACACTAAACCTTAGACCCTATAAACTAAACCCCACACCCTTAGATATCCCTAAAACATAAACCCTAAACACTAAAGACTAAACCCTTAAATAACTCTAAACCCTAAACCCTTAAATAACTCTAAACCCTAAACCCTTATATGACTCTAAACACTAAACTCTTTTGACTGATCCACTAATTTTAAACACTACACTAAAAACCCGAAACCCGAAACCCTAAAAACTAAACACTAAACCCTTATATGACTAAACCCTAAACCCTAAAGCCTTAGGTAGACTCTAAACCCTAAACTCTTAGGACTGATCCATAAACCCTAACAGATTAATATATAATAGCATCAACCATTTGGCAGGTTAGAATAAAACTTACATGAGTAATATATATAGTACGAGGCTATTGGTTATCGTAGCATTATAATTTTATTTCGTATATCATGTACAAATGGTTAGTCGTCTAACAAAGGTTTAAGTCTAAACCCTGATAGCCAAACCCTTAACCCTAAACCCTTATATTACACTTAACCCTACACCCTAACAACAAACACTACACAGTTAAACTAAACCCTAAGACCCTATATAACTATATACCTTAAGCCCTTATATGACTGTAAACCCTGAACCATTTGGACTGATCCATAAACCCAAACAGATAAGTAGATAATAGCATTAACGAATTGGCCGGTTAAAAGGAGACTTAAATGAGTAAGATATTCAATACGTGGTTAATACTTTTGAGTGGCTTAATTTAACAAGAGGTTTACGATATACTAGTCAAGACAGAACAAAGCTGTCATACAGTTGAGGCGTAAAATGACACGGTGGTTACACAACAATATAAATAGAGGCTAACACCAGAGGAAATGAAAATTAATCATATGTTCATACATTATTAGCGTTACTTTCGAATCTTCTTCGACAGAGCCGCCACCACTTCAACAATCTCCGTTATGTGTTTCTTCATGTCCTCAAGTTGTTCCTTGATTTCGATCAGTTCATTCGCCATAACCGAGTGTTTGATGGACAATGCTCCTAACTCCTTCAAATGGGCAGATGATGCAAATGATTTCCCCAAAAATTACTCCGCATCTGTACAATCTTCTACCAGGGTTTTTCTTTGTCTTCGATGTTAGAACGACAGCCAATTCTCCACACGGACACCTCCGAAGAATGCCAGGACCTAATTCCATGCCCATCTCGCAACCCTACCGAATAAAAGATCCCATCGTGTACAATTAGACTACCAGTTCTCATAGGATCAAAATATTTATCTACCAAAAACAAGAAGAGGAGAATGGTAAAACGGCCACAAGTTTTAACCTAAGTAGGACAAGAGGTGTCGTAAGATTAACCTGAACCAAAGATTTGTTCTTTCCTCAGGCTCTTGCCGCAAACAAGAAGTGGAGAATGGTAAAAGGGCGACAAGTTTTAACCTAAGTAAATGGCATTTCTTTATATACCCGAAGTAGCCCTATTTGTACAATCAAACTTGTGACATAATAAACAAAGGCCAATTGGTCGATAAAAATTGATTTGGTTTTGGCCGTTGGACATCCAACATGAAGGACCTCTGGCTAATACTAAAGTTGGATGGTTACATGAAATACAAATAATTTAAAGCATAAGTACTGATATGGTGGCCTCACATTCAAACATAAATAAATAGATAATTCAAGAGTCAAGAACAAAAGAAACATAAAGTTTCAAGTCTTTCGCGTCAAATACTTAAAAGAGACCATACTTAAATACTAGAGAAGGGAAATCATAGGGGACCGACTGCTGCTTCATATAGAGATACCACAATCCGCTCCACTTGGATGTCAAGCACGTCCGAGGTAATGAATTTGCAGGTATCAACCCCATCTACAGCATGGCCTTGGATGAAAAGCACAGATGAAATGGTAGATTGTGTTATTGCATTATGCTGAGGTATGCTCCGGGGCCTTTCAACTGGGGCCTTTCAATTGCCATTTGTTTGCACTCTCTCGTTCCAACGTTTATTCCCACATACTTCAGAAGGTATGGAAACATAAGCGCGATTGGTCTTATTTCTTTGTTCATCATGTAGTCTGTTCGGAGGCCATTGTTGCAGTCCAATACAGTGACACTTCAGCTACTGCAATCAACACATATGCCAACCCAGTACTTTTTTTCCAGATTGAATGGGAAATAGAAATGAACAGCATCAGTGTAGGACGGGAGCTGTAGGACCAAGTCAACAACATTTTCAGTGAATTTGAAGGTACCTTTTTTGAGACCTTTGAGAACTTTGAATACAATTTGGTGAACTGATAGACGAACTGCGTGTCCATAAAGACAGAAATGGGCTGTTGATTCAGAGATGATTGAGACCGGAACAATGAAATTGTGTAGAACATAAGGACCTCCACACCCTGTTGGGAGAAGCTTTATGCCACATATATCAAAAAAATATCATGAAAGAGCTGTTATCTATGGATTATTAATAGTAAGAAAGAATGATAAATAAGCTCATAATCCAACCTTAGTTGATAGTTGGATTGATCTCTCGACAACCTCAAAAAGCTCCGTGCTCTCAATATCCCCCTTTCTGCTGAAATGGAACTATACAAGTGATAACATATAACACGTTAGCCGGCTACTGAAAACTAAAAGTTGCTAACTTTGTAAATAGCTCTCTAACTCTGATTTATGGACTTACAATGTCGTCTTCATCTTGTCCAGTAGAGCAGAAACTTAGCCGCGTAATCTATGTTCCCTCCCTTATAGATTGCATCTGCAACCGCCTTTCTGGCATGGTTTAGAAAGGCATTATCACATTGATACTCACCCATCTGCAACTTCGTAAGTACCTTCTGGCTCTTGCTTTTCCTACACACTGCTCCTCATGAGTGTGGGAACCGAAATTCACCTACTGTCAATGAATCGTAAATAAGGAAACTTTGACTAAACCCTAAGTTTCCAGAGGACCCGGCTATCTGCAGAACCGCACAATGATAATTAAGAAAACGACGAAGTTAAAATTAAAGTAAGAATGAACGAGTTGAGAGCAAGAAGGTTTTTATTCCGAATCTGCGTAAGAACGGTTACAACGAGAGTAGCCTTAGCTGCGTGAGCCGTTGGCGAAATCCCTAACTCTAGAAGTCTAAGACCGAAAACCCTAGTTGAGACGCAGCTCGCTAACAGAAAACGGAAATATTCCTAAATGCTAAGTTTGGTGGTGAAAGCTCTGAAAACCGTGTCCCTGCTTCTGCCCTATGCCTCTTGCTTATATACTCCCTTCCTAGGCGGTTTAGTCTTTCCATTTCGCCCAGATTCGAGTTTATCTGGAATCTTCCATTTATCTCGATCCTTCCTTTTTTCCCGCGGAAATCTTCTATTTATCTTCAAACTTGCCATTTATCTTCAAACTTGACATTTATCTTCCTTCTGCGAGTAAATCGTCAAAATGTTATCGTATCTTTGGGTTAGATTTCGTTAAGATCGCGAGTTGGGCTTTTATCACGTTTTAGGACCTTCCGAGCCGTTTTGCCATAAATCCGTTTTGCAACGTTGTACGAGATCGTTTCCAGATCCGATGCCGTTTTTAGTAAATTCCCCGAGTTAATCGTAAAATTTAGCTATGTTTGCTTTCTTCGGTTAATCGTTGCCATTTTTATGATTCACTCGACGCTCTTATTAAAAACGCGGTTTTACGATTTTTTTTTGAAAAATCTCAAATAAATATAGTTTAGGCAATCTTCGGTGTTTCATTTAACCGTTGCCGTTTTATACGATTTCCTCGAGTTCTTTTCGAAAAACAAAGTTTTACAGTTTTTTATCGTAAAACCCGAACGATATGACGGATCGAGACGAAATAGGAGACATTTCGACAATGGTTCGGAACATGATCGTGTCGAAGGACGTAAGCCTTGAATCGGGGATGTGGGAGATCGAGGCTCAAGATGGTCGGCTTGACGTACGGCGAGCTACCCGGGAAGCTTCTAGCTCGCCGAACGGCGAGCTAGTGTGGACGAGACTAGCTCGCCGAACGGCGAGCTAGTCGCGGTGGGACTAGCTCGCGTTTTACGGCGGTTTTGGTTTTTCGTGGTTTTGTGCTTAACTCGGACGATCGCGTAATCGACGTTTGTTTCGTTCTACCGAAATAACAATCTTCTGAGTTTTCCGCGGATTTCCTTTGTTCGGAAATCTCTTTTGGATTTATAAAACGATTTTCCGAGTTTTATAAAACGTTTTCTGGAGTTTTATAAACGATTCTTCGAGTTTTATAAAACGATTACTCGAGTTTTATAAAACGATTTCTTTTATCTTTTTGCGGGGAGTTTTGGCTATTGATTCCGTCGTACCAATTTTGACCCCAATAGTTAGCCCCCCAGCTCGTAAGAATCGTGGAGTTCTTGCGAACGGATCGAACTTGTTTGGCGAGTTTGGTAGAATTAGGCGGAACTTTAATGGCCAAAAGTCCAAATGTGAATAGTAAAATTTTTGGGAAGACGACTTATTTCCCCACCAGAACTATCGTATAGTAATAAATGTACACAATGTTTCAATTTCGTCCTAATTGCACACCATTAGAGTTTAACAACCTATTTCCACATACGAAAAAAGTTCACAACTCATTTCCCCACATACCAAGATTTGACTTGGTTAAGTTGGTTTAGAATTTAAACCGATGGTAAACCAGTTTGTAATCCGATTCGGGATCGATTTTTTCCCACACCCGAAATCTTTTAAAAACCCCCCAAAATTGACCTAACTATCGATTTTGGGGTTTTTTTAAAGGATTTCAGGTGGGAAAAAATCGATCACGAATCGGATTACAAACTGGTTTACTATCAGTTTAAGTCATAAACCAATTTAACCAAAACAAATTTTGGTATGTGGGGAAACGGGTTGTGGAGAAACGGATTGTGGAGAAACGGGCTGTTAACATTTTTCGTACGTGGAAATATGTTGTTAAACTTTAATGGTGTGTAATTAAGGTGAAGTTGAAAGATTGTGTACATTTATTACTATACGATAGTTCTGGTGGGGAAATAGGTCGTTTTCCCAAATTTTTCCTATAAGTATTTGGGGTGAGTTTTCAAGTTCTTCACTCATTTTTCCATTACTTGTCTAAGTTTCAAGAAGTTTCTTTCTACTTCTTCCTTTGGATCCTTTCTTTTTCTTTTGACCATCCAACATGTCTTCCGAATGGAAAGCTTCGGACCATGCTCATGTATCGATTTTTGATCCGAGCGACCTTGACATCTCTGACGGTTGTCCACTTCCCAGGCCGATCTTTCGGCGCTTTTCCATGACTAAGAAAGAGTTTTTGGAATACTGGTTAGCCTTGGAGGCCGCCGAGGTTCCGTCTTCGAGTTTCTGGGTTCCGAAGAAGGATAAGCTTCGGAAGAAAACGGTCGGTCCAAGTACGAGTACTATCGGTTCTCTCAGAGTTGAGGAATCTCCGTGCGATCCCTGAGTCGGTTCAGTTTTGCCTTCCCGTTCAAGGTCAGGATGCTGAGAATCCGCCTCCGGGTTATTTTACGTGCTACGAAGCCTTTCTGTTGAACTGTCAGCTATGGTTCCCTATTCCTCGAGTCATTGTCGAGTTCTTGGATAGGTTTGGCATACCGTTCAGCCAGCTACGTCCTAGTGGCTTGCAGCACCTTGTTGGGATCTTGGTGCTAGGCTACGGGCGCGAAATGTCCCTTGATGCAGACTATCTTTTGGCTCTGTTGACATTCAAGCGCGGAAGAGGGGGCGGCTTTTACCTAACCTCTCGGCGAGAAATGGCGGTTATTGGCGGGCTCGCCTCGAATGATCACGATTAGATTGATCGGTTCTTCTATGTCAAAATTGATAGCACGTTGGTGGAGGAAAGTTGTATTCCTTTGTTCAGGACCGTGTGGGCGACAACTGCTATTTTATTGGCGTGATCTACATATCTGTATATATATAGATTTTAACCTTTTCGTGCGTTTTGCAGTGTCTATCCCCTGCAAACCGCTACTTGATGATTTCCCGGAGGTCATGAATCTTCTTCGTGGCGGCCCACTTCATTGGGGATACTTTTCTCCGAAAAGGATCCGTCGCGCCGTTGCCTATTATTCATCCGGTTTTTCTCGGGACAGTCGTACCGAGGTCAAGGCGGATGATGGTGCGGAGGAGAGGGAAAGGTCCAGATCTCCGCAGGACAGAGAAGTTCCGATTGGTCGCGGTCGAGCATTCGATG